AGGAACTGACAAATATTGTTAGAAGAAAGACATGCCAGAGCCCTCAGGAAACCCCAGCAGAGAAGGTAGGTCCAGGGAAAGGGACTGATATCTAGTTGTGACCTCTTCAGAAAGCTCAAGAGGCCATTTGATGGACAGAGAAACCCTGTCTCAAAACACGAAGAAGAAGAGGAGGAGGAGGAGGAGGAGGAGGAGGAGGAGGAGGAGGAGGAGGAGGAGGAGGAGGAGGAGGAGGAGGAGGAGGAGGAGGAGGAGGAGGAGGAGGAGGAGGAGGAGGAGGAGGAGGAGGAGGAGGAGGAGGAGGAGGAGGAGGAGGAGGAGGAGGAAGGAAGGAAGGAAGGAAAGAAGGAAGGAAGGAAGGAAGGAAGCTCAAGAGAACCAATAAACACACATCAATGCAGCCGAACAGAATAAGGCTGAAGCAAGAGAGCTGAGAAAAGCCAAAACCCTGTAAGGCAGAGGTCTCCAAGTGATGGTCAGACAGACCAGTGACTTGAGTTCAAGGTGAGGGTTACAGACACCACCACCTATCACCACGTTAAGGCTTTGAACCAGGCATGGTGGCACACTCCTGTAATCCTAACATTTGGGAAGCAGAGGCAGAAGGATTAAGAGTTCAAGACCAGCTTGAGCGGGTACATGCGATATTACGCTCAAAAAATTGGGAGAAAAGGAATAATAAAAGGACTTTGGGCAGCTTGTTCCAGCTAAGGAGGTGGAGGTGACTACCCCTCACACATCCAAAGAAGGCTTGCTGACCTCCTTACCTGGCCTCACAGGGATGCAGAAACCCTGTTTGTCCCTCAAAGGCTCTGCTGTCTCCATGTCGAACTGTACAAGCTCAAAGGGACTCAGCATCTGGGATGGAGGGTGGGGAGCATTGGCAAAGGTTCTTGGGACCACCAGCCTCAGGACCACCATCACACTGGGAGTCCCGCCCACTCACTCGAAGGAAGCAGTTGGTTTTCCCCGCGGCCCCGCGGCGTCCTCCATAGTTCATTAAGCCCATGTTGCCCTCCGTGGAGCCGTAGAACTCCCAGATCCGAATGGGACCAAAGCGTTTCTGGAAGATTTCCCACACATCTTCCCGAAGTCCATTGCCCATCGCCAAGTGGACTGTGTGTTTCTTGTCTTCCGGTTGCTGCAGGGACATCCCAAGAAGGGTCAGAAGGTTGTGCCCTGGCAGGTATGGCTGGGAACGAAGGCTTTCTGAAGAAAAGTATCTTAAGTGTGAATACTGAGAATTACATAGAAAGTGGTAGCAGTGGGACCTGCACTTAGGGAATCTACCTACTTAACAAGAGTTAGACATGGATACTGGGAATACCTATAATCCCAGCACACAGGAAACAGAAGCAGGCCGACTATTAGTTGGAGATGAGAATGAGCCCCATAGCAAATTACAGGCCTTCCTGGGATATTTAGGGAGAGCCCCATCTTGGGGGAAAAAAAATGCCGGGCGGTGGTGGCCCACGCCTTTAGTCCCAACACATGGGAGGCAGAGGCAGGCGGATCTCTGTGAGTTCGAGACCACCCTGGTCTACAAGAGTTAGGTCCAGGACAGGCTCCAAAACCACAGAGAAACCCAGTCTGGAAAGAAGGAAAAGAAAAAAAAAATATTGTCGTCTCTAGCTAAATTATCCCTATAGACACTATAGGGCAGTTTTGCCTGTAAGAAGTTTCTTGAGGTAGCCTCATGTTACCTAGAGTTACCTAGCTAAGAGTAACTGGAGACATCAACCTCCATCTCGCCATCTGACACTACTTGGGCTACTTTCCAGGAGAATTGTTACCTGGAGGCATTATCTGCAAGGGTTTCTGTGGAGGTTCATCTGTAGGTAAACTGGGGAGTCATTTGAAACCGTATCTTGAAGTGTTACCTAAGGAAGGAAGCTTACCAGGATTTTCATGGGGCTTTTGATTTGAAACTGAAGGAGTGGGGAAGAGGCTGGGAGGTTGGGCACATCACCTAGAGACAGTTTCCTAGGGACCACAGCCCCTTGCTCTATAAGATAAGAGCATCTTGCCAGGAGTGGTGGCGCACGCCTTTAATCCCAGCACTCGGGAGGCAGAGGCAAATGAATTCGAGGCCAGCCTGGTCTACAGAGTGAGTTCTGGAGTTCCAGGACAGCCAAAAACACACAGAGAAACCCTGTCCTGAAAAAAAAAAGTATGTTTTTACCCTGAGTCACATTGTTCCAGGTACTTTATATAGTCAAAATATATATTCATTTCATGTTTACAGCGCTCCCTTCAGGTAGGAGGTATTTTCTCTTTTTCTTTCTTTCCTTCTGTTTTTGTTTTGTTTTTGTTTTTGGAGACATGGTTTCTCTGTGGCTCTTGTAGCTCTTGTAGACCAGGCTGTTTTGAACTCACAGAGATCCTCCTGCCTCTGCCTCCTGAGTGCTGGGACTAAAGGCGTGCGCCACCACTGCCTGGCATAGGAGGTATTCTTATTTACGCCAGTATCTACCATTAGTAGTGCTATTTGTAAACTGAGATCCAGGGCTGGTTAATGTCCAGATTGGGACTATTCTCATCTAGGCTTTTCAAATGAAGCCACTGAAACTGTTGGCACAATCTAGAACCAAGTGGGGAAGGCGTCTCAGAGAAGGACTGCATAGGTTAGATTGGCCCGTGAGGGAGTGACTTTGGAAGGCCCATCCTGAATGTGGGTGACATCATTTTATAGGCTGAGCTAAATGAAGGGGAAAGAGCAAAGTGTGTATTGGCATGGGCGCATGAATTCATTCCTTGGGGCTCTTGACTGTGGATGCGATACGAGGAGTTGTTTTAAACTCCTGTAGCCTTGACTTCCCCACAGTGACGCACTATAATCTACAACTGTGAGCTAAAGAAACCTTTTCTTCCTTGGGTTGTTCTCCTGTTTTACAGCAAAAGGACACTAGGACACGCCAGCCCAGGTGACTAACCATCAAAGCACACATCAGAAAACGTGGAAAGTGGGCTGGAGACATGGAGTGATTAAGAACACTAGCTGGCCCGCCTGTGGTGGCGCACGCTTTTAATCCCAGCACTCGGGAGGCAGAGGCATGTAGATTTCTGTGAGTTCGAGACCAGCCTGGTCTACAAGAGCTAGTTCCAGGATAGGCTCCAAAGCTACACAGAGAAACTCTGTCTCAATTACTCCCCCCCCCAAAAAAAAGAATACTAGAACACTAGGTGTTCTTCCAGAGGTCCTGAGTTCAATTCCCAGCAACCATATCATGGCTCGCAACCATCTGTATTGAGATTTGGTGCCCTCTTCTGGTCTGTAGGAATACATACAGACAAAGCACTGTGTACTAAATAAATAAACAGTTAAAAAAAAAAAAAAGAAAATGTGGAAAGTGTTTGGAACATATTGTGTGAGACTTTGTTTTGAGACAGAGTCTCAGTGTAACCCAGGCTAACATTCAACTCGCCGTGTAGCCAAGAGGTGACCTTGCTTGAGACCTGTAGGTATGGGGTCTTTGATGTCAGGTCTCACACATGCTAAGCCTGTACTCTACTTCTGGGTCATGTCTTCACTTTGTATCTAAATCTTTTTTTTTTTTTTTTTTTTTAGATTTTATTTACTATGCATACAACATTCTGCTTCCATGTCTATCTGCCCCCCAGAAGGGGGCACCAGATCTCATAACGGATGGTTGTGAGCCACCATGTGGTTGCTGGGAATTGAACTCAGGACCTCTGGAAGAGCAGTCAGTGCTCTTAACCTCTGAGCCATCTCTCCAGTCCCCTGTATCTAAATCTTTATCTGAGAACTTTGTCTGGACAGCCATCTAGAGTTCCACGCCTGGGAGTTCACTTTGGAGCCTTAATCTTGGAGCCTCACCTCGGGCACGTTGCACAGGTATCGTAGAACCTCGCCTACATACTGGATCACTGTTACGTGGTGCTGCCGACAGTCAGCCCAGAAGCGGGAGGCAGAGAACTTGTGAGCCAGGACACAGGTGGCTCCTGGTAGGGGAAAAAAAAATAAATGATCATGTTCCGTGTTGCTATGTGACTACCTGGTTTATAGCATTTCATATGCAAAATAATGCCACACTCCGTGACAATGACCTACAAACCTAAAATTTACCAGTGAGGTGTTATGAGTTTGGTCCACGCCCATCCCAAGTGAGGGGATGGTTGTGTGGTGTAAAAGATTTTTCCTGTCTACTCTGGGTTCCGTTGGACCTGTTTTATCTCCACCCACCAGGTTCCACAGCTGCTTAATAAAATGAACACTCAGAGACTTAATATATATATTGATAACTGCTTAGCCAATGGCTTGGGCTTCTTACTGGCTAGCTCTCTCTTAATTATTAACCCATAACTATTAATCTGTGTATCTCCATGTGACCTTATCCTACCGGGAGAAAGCCCAGGTGTCCTACCTTCCGGGTACCTACATGCCATGTCCTTTGTCTTTCTTTTCCTTGGTTCAGAATTCCCACCACCTAGCTAAGTCCTGCCTGTCCATTGGCCAAAAAAGCTTTATTCGTCCACCAATAAAAGCAACACATATTTGCAGCACTCAGAAGGACCTCCCATATCAGTGTAGCTCAGTGGTAGAGCCCTTGCCCCAAATTCACTGGTCCTGGCCTCCATCTCCTGCCCTGCAAAATAAACAGTCTCTAAAAGGATTTTCTTTTTGTCCTGTTTTGATTTTTTTATAAGGATTTTTATTTGTTTGGTTTTTGGTGGGGAGGTAGTTCGAGACAGGGTTTCCTCTATGTGGCTATCCTGGAACTCATTCTGTAGACCAGGCTGGCCTTGAACTCCACCTGCCTCTGTCTCTCAAGTGCTAGGATTAAATGAATATGCCACCACCACCACCACCACCACCAAAGACCTCATCTTACAAGGAAAAAAAAAAAGAGGCTGGAGAGATGGCTCAGTGGTTAAGAGCTCTGACTGTTTGTTCCAGAGGCCCTGAGTTCAATTCCCAGCAACCACATGGTGGCTCACAACCACCTTGAATGAAATTTGATGCACTCTGCTGGCATGCAGGCAGAAGACTGTATACATAATAAATGAATAAAATCAGAAGTTCAGAAGGATCAGAAGTTCAAGGCCATCTTCAGCTGTATACCAAATTTGAGGCCAGCCTGGGCTACATGGTGTAAGGCCTTTTGGATGGCTCGGATGGGACAGGTATTCTGTAACTAACTGTAAGCCCTTTGGGCAGCTCGGACGGGGCAGGTATCCTGGAGCTCAGGAGTCACAGAATACCACAGGTCACACAGTAAGCACAGCAGCTCACAGCCCTGTTTCAAGGGGGCTTCCCCAGTGTATCAGTTCTGATCCAGCAGAAAAGGGCTTGAGAAGTTGCTTCGGCTCCAGTCCCTCGGAGTGTAACCACTCTGCTCTGTCAAGGGAATGTTTCTCCTGACAGAAGTGTTACCTGCCTCAAAGGACTCGAAGTTCCTTCAGGAATCTTTATTCTCTCTCACACACTAATTCCGTGCAGACACAGGGTTTATATAGTTTCTCCAGGGGACAGGGATTGGTAGAATTTGAATCTCTGAACTGATTGGCTAGCTCTCCATTCAGGGATTGGTTAGTTTTCTGCATGGGTTTAGGGCCGGATTGAGCTCTAGTTTCAGGGCCACAGTGTGTTTCTTTTACTGGTCTTTTCCCCTTTCTGGCCCTGGTTTTGGGGCCAGGGTGTGTTTCTTTCATTGGCTCTGATTCTAGGGACAAAGTGTGTTTCATTGGCACTAGTTTCAGAGTCAGGGTACATTTCTTTGGTTCTGGTGGTTGGGTCAAAGTGTGTCTCTTTGGGCTGGGCGTTGGTGGCGCACGCTTTTAATCCCAGCACTCGGGAGGCATTGGCAGGCGGATCCCTGTGAGTTCAAGGCCAGCCTGGTCTCCAGAGCGAGTGCCAGGATAGGCTCCAAAGCTACACAGAGAAACCCTGTCTCGAAAAACAAAAACAAAAATAAAAACAAAACAAAACATAACAAAAAAAAAGTGTGTCTCTTTGGCTCTGCTCAGGGTGTGTTTCTTTGGCTCGATCCTTTTCCCTACATATAGTCCAATCTGAGATGGGGAAAACAAACTCACTACAGAGTATAGAACTGCGTCCCCTTGGTTGTTCTGCACTAACACACTATGGCCCTTGGAAGACTTACCAAGTTCTATGCAGCCCAGGACTCCGAGGACAAGGCCACTCACATGGTACAGAGGTAAAACAACATAGACCACGTCATCAGTGGTGGCCCCGCAGAACCAGGTTAACCTGCTCATGTGTGAGACTCGTTCGTATGAGACAATGGCTGGCTTTGGGAGTCCTGGTGGGCGAGAGAGCAAGAAGGGTTGGGGAGGAAGAGAAACCAGCACCTCAAGGGGGGGGGGGTCTCCACCACAGAGAAGCCTGCCTGGGTTTGAGCCTCTCAGAGGGGACCCAGTATGAAGATTTTTCTGGGTAAGATCAGTAGGCCCACATCCCTGGCACTCAAAAGGGTGAGGCAGCTACATAGGGAGTTCGAAGCCAGTTAAGACTGTTAGAGCGGCCGGTTGGTGGCACATGCCTTTAACCCCAGCACTCGGGATGCAGAGGCAGGCGGATCTCTGAGTTCGAGGCCAGCCTGGTCTCCAGAGTGAGTGCCAGGATAGGCTCCAAAAGCTACACAGAGAAAAACCAAAAAAAAAAAAAAAAAAAGACTGCTAGAGCAAGACTGTCTCAAAAGGCCAAAAAATAAATAACAATAAACATGAAAACTTGGTAAGTGTCTCTTTGGTTTTGCTTTTGTTTTGTTTGTTTTGCTTTGCATGGGTTTTTTTTTTTAGATCTATTTATTGTATATATTTATTGTATACATGAGGAGGAACGAGATATATCCTCCTCATGTATCCCTGCACACCAGCAGAGGGCACCAGGTCTCATTACAGATGGCTGTGAGCCACCACGTGGTTGCTGAGAATTGAACTGGAAGAGCTGTCAGTGCTCTTAACCTCAGAGCCATCTCTCCAGCCCCACATGTTTTGATTTTTGAGACAAGATCTCTCTCTGTGGTTCAAGCTAACCTGGATCCACACTGGCCTTAAACCCTTCCTTTCTTCCTTCTTTCCTCCCTCCCTCCCTCCCTCCCTCTCTCCCCCCTCCCTTTCTTTTTTTAATCATGTATACAGTGTTCTGCCTGCATGCATCCCTGCAGGCAAGAAGAGGGCACCAGATCTCATTACAGATGGCTGTGAGCCACCATGTGGTTACTTGGCCCCTCTGAGCAGCCAATGCTCTTAACCTCTGAGCCATCTCTCCAGCCCCTTCCTTCCTCCCTCCCTTCCTTCCTTCTTTCCTCCATTCCTTCTTTTTTTTCTCCATTTCCCTTTCTATCAAAAAAGAACCTTCATTCCCTATTTATTTATTTACTTATTTAGTATTTTGGTCTTTTTTGAGATGAGCTTTCTCTGTGTAGCCCTGGTAGTTCTGGAATTTGCTCTGTAGACCAAGCTGGCCTCAGACTCAAAAATCCTCCTGCCTCTGCCTCCTGAGTTCTGGGATTAAAGGCGCACATTGCCACACCTAGCTTGATTTTTTTTTTTTCCTTTTTAAAAATGTGGAATTGAAAAAAAAAATGTGGAAAGAAATGCTCTGTGAATTTGCCTGTCATCCTTGCACTGGGGATATGCTAATTTGTGCATTGTTTGATTTCAGTATTTGACCCACCTAAAGGTACAAACCTCTACATCCTCCAGCCTCTTAGCTCTCTGGAGAGCTGGGATTTACATGTGAACAGCACCACATCCCACTCTGTGGCTGGTTTCCAGAATTAGGGATAGTAAATCCAAACAAAATAGAACCATACATGGGGTCAGAGTCAAAGTCAGAGGTTGGGTGTCAGAGGACAAATAGAAGGCTTGATGTCAACTGAATGAGGTCAAGGCTAGCGTGTGGAGAGTGGGGGCAGGGCCAGCAGCCTCCTCACCAGTGGTTCCTGAAGTGTAGATGAGTAAGGCAGGGCTTCGCCGCTGGATCTTAGCTCGCAGATTGGCAGGCACAGGGTCAGAGGGTGCGGTGTCCAGGGCAGCCCCCAGAGCCTCCACACCTGGAGTGGGCGAGCTGTGGCCAAGGTAGAAGCAGCAGATGTTCTCTGCTAGCAGCTGGGGAAGGATTTCTTCCAGGTTCTCCTGGAGGTCTACAGGGACCATCAGAGGAGAAAAAGAGGTAAATCTTACCTTCCTTCTAAGTCAAGACGGAGTCCTGGAGATCCAGAGACAGAAAAGCCGGTGGCAGAGAAAAGCTTCCTCATTCTTGGATAAAGAACTTGGCTGGGTTGTGGCAATCCTTTAATCCCAGCACTTAGGAGGCAAAGGCAGGTGGATCTCTGTGAGTTCGAGGCCAGCCTGGTCTACAAAGTGAGTTCCAGGATAGCCAAAGATACACAGAGAAACCCTGTCTCCAAAACAAAACAAAAACCAACAACAAAAAAGAACTTCATAATGCCAGGCTGTGGTGGTGGCAAACACCTTTAATCCCAGCCAGCACTTTGGAGGCAGAGGCAGGCAGATCTCTGAGATCCAGGCCAGCCTGGTCTACAGATCGAGTTCCAGGACAGCCAGGGCTACAAAGAGAAACCCTGTCTCGAGACAGAAACAAAACAAACGAAAGAATCTTATAATTTGTGAAATATAAATTTAGTCAAATAAAGCCGGGCATCGTGGCCAATGCCTTTAATCCCAGCACACAGGAGGTAGAGGTAAGTGGGTCTCTGTGAGTTTAAGGCCAGCTGGTCTACAGAGTGAGTTCCTGGACAGGTTCCAAGGATACACAGAGAAACCCTATCTCGAACCACACACACACACACCCACACACACACACACACACGCACACGCCGCACA